ATCTTCCGAGGTCCCTTCCATCCCTAATGTCTATGAAATCTGTGAAGCTTGATTTCAACCTACAGGTTGAAAACAGTGCAACATAATTCTGACCTATGTCTAGATACTAGGTATGCGCACTTGTAAGGCCCTGACTCTTGGGCACATGCAGATCTGCACATACAGATGGGAATAGGAGTACGCACACACGGTTGGTTATGACTTACCTTATTTGTATACAGATACCTAGTTGGTCAACTCTTACATTTAATGCAAGTAGGAACATACATTAAGAGGAGCTAAACAATGCTTTTAAGGTGAGGTGACGGAGACAAACTTGTCATTTTAATGTAATTTTCTTTTAATCCAAAATAATTGCATCACTTTTTTTTAAACAGGATTGGGATTTATTGCTCATGGACCAGCTAGTAAGCATCCATTGCAGCTGCTTTATGTGTTCTGTCTTGTTCTACAGCAGGGGTGGGCAAAATGTGGCCCGTGGGCTGGATGAAGCCCACCAGGCCATTCTATCTGGCCCATGGGACCCCTAAAAAAAATTTAGAAAATTAATATTTGTCTGTCCCTGACTGCCTGTCATTTGGCCCTTGATGGCTTGCCAAAACTCAAAATAAGTGGACCTCCACCTGAAATACTTGCCCGCCCCTGTTCTATAGCATCATAGAAAATTAGGATTGAAAGGTACCTCAGGAGGTCATCTAGTCCAACCCCCTGCTCAAAGAAGGACCATCCCCAACTAAATCATTCCAGCCAGGGCTTTGTCAAGCTGGGCTGTACAAGTCTCCAAGGACGGAGATTCCAACCTCCCTAGGTAACCTGTTCCAGTGCTTCACCACCCTCCTGGTGAGAGAGTTCTTCCTAGAGGTGCACCAATATGTCGGTTGCATATTGGATTGGCACTGATTTTAAAAAGAAAATCAACATTATCGGTAATCAGCTTTGGGCAGTATAGCCAATAATATCAGCAATTAAATGCTGCGGGGCTCCTGAGGGAAAGGGAGCAGAGTGGAGTGCCCCAAGCAGGGGCAGCAATGGGAGCTTGCGGGTCTGTATAACCACCCCAACGTTCCCCATAGCCCCCAGGTAGCTACCTCTCCCAGCGATGTTGCCCGCCCCATGCTGCTAAGCCTGTCCAGCTCCCACCAGCTCTGAGTCTAGTCTCGGCCCACCTCCCCTGCTGGGAAGAGGCAGGTGCTGCTCCTGGCCCCAGGCCCTCAGTAGGCAACCCACCCTTGCCGCACGTACAAATCTGAGGCAGTGCATGCCCCCCATGCCTCCCCTAGGGGCGTGTGCAGCAGCAGGGAACTCCCCACCCCTTCCTCCTGCATCTCCTAGATGAGCTGTTCCCAGCCCCAGGGTCACATTCACTGCTCTGGCTGGGCAGTGTCTGCCCCTGCCCCACTCCTTCCCTCACCATGGGGGCCTCAATCTGCCCCCCTGCACTCCTTCCCCCGCACAGACTTACCAGCAGGACGATCCTTTCCAAGCTGCTCAGGCTGCATTCCTGTAAATTGGGTATTGGATTAGTATCGGCCAATATGGCTAGTTAATCAGCTATCAGTATCAGCCAAGAAAATATTTATCAGTTTACCTGTAGGTCTTCCTAATAGCTAACTTAAACCTCCCTTGCTGCAACTTGAGACCATTGCTCCTTGTTCTGTTATCTGTAAGTGGTGTCTAGACCAGAGCACTCTAATTTGGAATGAAACACCTTAAGCTTCCATTAGAGTTTGGGACAAAACGGTGGGAGAGCTTGAAATATATTAATCCTTTCTCCAGTATGTAGAACTGCTTCATATGTCCCCATACCCTCATTCAAAAAAGGGATCTTAAAACCCTTTACAGTGTCTATAAAATGTGATGTCTTACAGCTTAAATTGCTGCAGTTCTTCAGTGGTTAGGGCTGTGGGAATGAAGTCTGAGGCTGTTGAAGTTGCAGGCAACAGCAAGTGCTTAGTAGGGAAACAATCTTGCACAGAAAACACTACTAAAGACTTGACAAATACAGGAAATGTACTTGGCCAAATATAGTATACTGTGGAAAGCCTTCCAAGTTGTTTATGGTATGTTTTGCTTCATATTTTTTCCCCTCAAAGCATTTAATTAATTCTTGGGTTATTTATCTCCTTCAGTTGCAATGCTTTGTAATACAGGTTGTGTAGAAGTCCTCCATAAACTAAGTTGTGTTGTATTTTTTCTGTATTTGTACTGTAAAGAAAAGACTTTATAAAAACAAAGACTAGATATTTTATTTCCTCAGGTTTTTTTTCTTAAAACCTTGCTGTCCGTCCCTCCCCA